GCAGGCCTTTTTCACGCCCACTTGTTCCACAGTGGGATTTAACGCTGGTCCTGCAGGCCCTGATCAAAGTTCCATTTGAGCCTCTGGATCAGGTTCCATTTAAATTCTTGTCTCTTAAAACAGCCCTGCTGCTGGCTTTAACATCCGCTAAGAGAGTGAGTGATTTATCTGCCCTCTCTGTCGCTCCGTCATGTCTCAGAATTCAGGCTGATGCCAGCTCAGCTGATTTAAGACCAAACCCAGCTTTTATGCCTAAAAACATCACAAGTTCTTTTAAATCAAGAGCGATATAGTTGGAGGGGTTTTTCTCTCCACCCCATAGATCAGAAGAAGAAGCATCTTTCCATCTTCTCTGTCCGGTGCGGGCATTGACGTGTTACATAGCGCGCACAGCTGCAATGCGTCAAACTCAACATTTGTTTGATCATTATAGAGATGCATCTGCAGGTCGCCCGTTATCCACCCAGCGCTTGTCACACTGGCTGTGTGAGGCCATTTCTGAAGCCTACAGAGCATCAGATTTAGAGCCTCCTGTCAACCTCAGAGCACACTCGACCAGAGGTATTGTATCTTCGACTGCTTTGCATAATGGTATGACAATGCAGGACATTTTGCACTGCGGCCGCGTGGTCAACACCCTGCTCATTTATTCACTTTTATCTACGTGATGTGACGGCTCGTCCCATGACACATTCTGTCCTTAGTGTTTTTAACAGAATGAATATTGTTGTTTCATGGAACTCCGTTTAACTCACATCTGTCTGCATGCATTACAGTGTGAAATGTTATCAGTCACAAGTTGTGATTGTTATTTTGGTTCTATTGTCACTAATCAGTTCATGACTATTGTTACCAATCAGTTCATTTGATTAATAATCAGCTCTCTTGTTATTATTAATCTGTTCATACTGTTTAGCTGTAAACCAGTTGGTTCATGGCTCTTTTCAGCTTTTTTCCCTCCTTGTTGGAACTTTTCCAGGGCGTTCATGCATTCAGAACACATAGTTACACAACACGCGTCTGTGCATGGCACACATAATTACGCAATGCGTAATTACGCACATGGGGAGCTGAGTGACAAAATGTTTTTTGGGCAAGCTTCTGCTTCATACGGTGTTCGAATGGACCCAGTGAGGCGAGGACTACATCTGCTTTGCCCTTAACCCACCAGCGACAGCCATATAGGGCGAAGCTTATACGAAATAGAACGTTGGTTACGTACTGTAACCCCAGATTCTATGAGTATAGGCGTAGCCCTTTAAACGTTTGGCCTCACTGGCTCCTAAATGGCTGAAGAAAAAGCTAATTGGGAGCCGATTACCCGCTCTTAACCTAATTTATATGGACCAGGTGAGGCCCACACAGCAGGTGGGCATGGACTAAATTTTTCAGTGTGATGCTCTGCATATCGGGATAAAACCCATCAGCGACAACCTTAAAGGGCTACGCCTATACTCATAGAATCTGGGGTTACAGTACGTAACCAACGATTTTTCCCTTAAAATTATACATTCTCTCAGTTTAAACTTTTGATCTGTGATTTGTGTTCTATTCTGAATAAAATATTAGATGTTAGCACCTCCACATCATTGCATTCAGTTTTTATTCACAATTTGTTTAGTGTCCCAACTTTTTTGGAATCCGGTTTGTAAATAAGTAAATTATAATAATAATGGAATCTAATCTGGTACAGAGGGAAATTTAGTTAGTCTAGCCAATAGCTTACGGGCAGCAGCTCTGCCCTCCTCCTCTTCAGCTGATCACTTTTAACATGTAAGCTGCGTCATAAGAAATTTTCTGTGCGTTTTCTATTATTGCTGAACAAATGAACAGGTCTGTGCATGAAGTACAAAATCCGATAACACGGGAACAATCTGAAGAAATTAATGCACATCAATGTCGGGGAATGGTCCTTTGGAGTACCTCATTGGACATACAGGTTAGACTTCTGGTCACATGATGACCGAGTGGGTGGAGTTATGGTTGGATATTTGAAACCGTGAGCAAGAGTCATTGTACATCTAATTACCTGAGGGCATTCTCTTTGTGTCACATATGCCTGCCCCCATGAGGGGCGGGGTGCTGGGAGCCACAAAGAAAAATAGTCAGTGGAAGGAAGCTACCGAGAGACGGTAGGAAGTCCTTCAAAATAAAATAAGGATATCAATTTTGAAAATTATGAAAAAAAAATTATAAATAAGACACTCCTGCATATAAATCGCATGGTATAAAGTGTGAGACAAAAGTAGCAGCTAATACAACGGCAATTATGGTAAATCTAATTAGATGTTCAGCCCTTGTTCGGCCTGTGCAGTTGTGCCGATTTGTGAAGATCAGAAGTTTTATGTCTGTAATTCATGGCAGGACCTCAATTTTTAATCAGAATGTTGTTTGGAAAGCAACACGCGTTAGCACCAACCTGTACGGTGGTCCAGAATTGATCTTTCATCTCGTCTCTGGACAACTAAAATAAGGCTCTTTTAACACATTTCTGAGTGAAACCGTAGATTTTCTGCTGCAGTTCAGCCGTTAGTGTACAAGTAGTTTCGGGGTTACGTTCTGGACACCCCCGCAATAAGTGAAAAACTGCAAAGTAAGGACATTATATTTATTTTAGCATATATATGTGCAGTGAGAAAAATAAGTATTTGAACACCCTGCAACTTTGCAAGTTCTCCCACTTAGAAATCATGAAGGGTCTGAAATTTTCATCTTAGGTGCATGTCCACTGTGAGAGACATAATCTAAAAAAAAAAAAAAAATCTGGAAATCACAATGTATGATTTTTTAAAATAATTTATTTGTGTGTTACTGCTGCAAATAAGTATTTGGACACCTGTGAAAATCAATGTTAATATTTGGTACAGTAGTCTTTGTTTGCAATTACAGAGGTCAAATGTTTCCTGTAGTTTGTCACCAGGTGTGCACACACTGCAGCAGGATTTTGGACAATTCCTCCACACAGATCTTCTCTAGATCAGCCAGGTTTCTGGGCTGTCACTGAGAAACACAGAGTTTGAGCTCCCTCCAAACATTTTCTATAGGGTTTAGGTCTGGAGACTGGCTAGGCCACTCCAGAAACATGATATGCTTCTTACAGGGCCACTCCTTGGTTCTCCTGGCTGTGTGCTTCAGGTCATTGTCATGTTGGAAGACCCAGCCACGACCCATCTTCAATGCTCTAACTGTTCAATCGTCTTGTGCCTTCTTTGTCGCACCTTCCTCTTTATGATGTGCCAAATGTTCTCTATAGGTTAAAGATCTGGACTGCAGGCTGGCCATTTCAGTACCCGGATCCTTCTCCTACGTAGCCATGATGTTGTGATTGCTGCAGCATGTGGTCTGGCATTATCGTGTTGAAAAATGCAGGGTCTTCCCTGAAAGAGATGACGTCTAGATGGGAGCATATGTTGTTCTAGAACCTGAACATAGTTCTCTGCATTAATGGTGCCTTTCCAGACATGCAAGCTGCCCATGCCACAAGCGCTCATGCAACCCCATACCATCAGTGATGCAGGCTTCTGAACGGAGCGTTGATAACAACTTGGGCTATCCTTGTCCTCTCTGGTCCGGATGACATGGCGTCCCAGTGTTCCATAAAGAACTTCAAATCATGACTCATCTGACCACAGAACAGTCTTCCATTTTGCCACACTCCATTTTAAATGACCCCTGGCCCAGTACAAACGTCTGAGCTTGTGGAGCTTGCTTAGAAATGGCTTCCTCTTTGCACTGTAGAGTTTCAGCTGGTAAAGGCGGATGGCACAGTGGATTGTGTTCACTGACAATGCTTTCTGGAAGTATTCCTGAGCCCATTCTGTTATTTCCTTGACAGTGACATTCCTGTTTGAGGTGCAGTGACGTTTAAGGGCCTGGAGATCACGAGCATCCAGTAGAGTTTTATGGCCTTGACCCTTACGCACAGCGACTGTTCCAGATACTCTGAATCTTTTGAGGATGTTATGCACGGTTGATGATGATAACTTAAAAGTCTTTGCTATTTTACGCTGGGTAACACCATTCTGGTATTGCTGCACTATCTTTCTGTGCAACAATGGTGGAATTGGTGATCCTCTTCCCATCTTGGCTTCTGAGAGACACTGACACTCTGAGAAGCTCTTTTTATACCCAATCATGTTGTCAATTGACCTAATTAGTGTTAAATGGTCTTCCAGTTGTTCGTTATATGCCCAATTTCCTTTTTCCAGCCACCTATTGCTACTTGTCCCAACTTTTTTGGGATTTGTTGACACTGTGAAATTTTGAATCAACATATTTTTCCTTTAAAATGTTACATTTACTCAGATTAAACTTTTGATCTGTCATCTATGTTATATTACGAATAAAATATTGACATTTGCCATCTCCACATCATTGCATTCAGTTTTTATTCACAATTTGTTTAGTGTCCCAACTTTTTTGGAATTCGGTTTGTACTTTGTCTCTTTTCTTAATTCACTATATGCATATTTCTGGTCTTTTATTTTCTGGAGGTTCCCTCTCTTTTGGATTATTATTATTATTTTTAATTTATTTCTTACACATATATGTGTATGACCAATTTGATGGAAATGGCAATACTGACTTGTCTTTTTTGAGAGTGATGGTTATTTTCTTTTTTCTTTTTCTACATGCTATGTTGACGTGAGTGGAGGTTGTCTGTCTGTTTTTCTTTTCTTTGTTTTAGTTCATACTTTTATCTTTTAAAGGAAGTTGTACAGTTTGTTTTATATGTACAGTAATATATTGGAATAGTGCTATGACTGGGGAGAGGGAAGTCTGGGCCTCCCTACTTACGCTGCTACCCCCGCGACCCGACCCCGGATAAGCGGAAGAAAATGAATGGATAGATGGATAGTGCTATGACTGTACAATTTGTTAAAAACCACATAAATAAAGTTTTTGGGGAAAAATGTATAACACACTCAACAATGAAAAGCAACCATCAAAGTTTGGGATTCGTTTGTGTGTGTGTGTGTGTGTGTGTGTGTGTGACCAACCTGTCCTCTCTCTGTGTCCACCTTCTTTCTGAGTAACATCTCAAAACAATGGTTCTGATGTAGCAAGTCAAAGATGTACGTCATCTCATTGTATCGGCCAATACCTGTCAACAGACGCACCTACAGACAGACACACACACACGCACACACTTGTTGAATTCATGTTGGTCTTGTTTAACACAAGAGCAGAAATAAGAAATTGTAGTTCAGATTACAGTCAGACTGAAATAACGAACATGCTGTGTTGTCATCATTTTATGTTCCCATACAATGGTGAAATTAGTTCTCTGTATTTAACCCATCGCACCTGGGATACACCCAGGTGGAGCAGTGGGCAGCTATGTAGGTGCCCAGGGAGCAATTGGGGATTGGGTGTCTTGCTCAGAGACACCACAACATGTGGGAATGGCTGGGGATCGAACCTGGGGCTTTCGGTTCCTGAGTCAGCTGCCCTGCCTCTACCCCATATCGGCCCCCCCACATATTGTCCATGATTAGAAGAACTACTTTATATCCATCAGCAGGACAATCGGTACTATCATAGGATGCACACAGGAAAAGTCATCAGTCAAATGAAAAACTCAGACATCATTATTTAGGACAAAACACAGAGCCCACTTAAGACAAACAAATAGGAGCTGCAGACCAGTTGTAATTGCTTCAGCTTTACTCACAGCTACAAGGACATTACTCCTCACAGGACCCACGGAGCATGTGAAAGGGCATTAAGTGCATGACGGACTATAAAAGCAGGGGTGCACAATGTCCTAGGGACGCCTGATGATTTTAACAGACTCTATGCCCGCTTTGAGGACCCAAATAGACCACCCAGCACCAGACTCTCCTCATCATCCGAAGAGGAGTTCCTTAGTGTGATCTCAGTAGCAGTAAGGAGTACCTTCAGGATTAATCCTCACAAAGAACTGGCCCAGACAACATCCCCAGGAAGTTGCTGAAAGACTGTGCTGATCAGCTCTACAAGGTACTGGCCAACATCTTTAACTCCTCCCTCACCCTGGCAACAGTTCCCACCTGCCTGAAGACTGCCACCATCATCCCAGTCCCAAAGAGCTCTACAGTGACTGATCTGAATTACTACTGTCCAGTAGCCCTCACCCCGATAGTCACTTAATGCTTCAAAAGACTGGTCATGACCCACATCAAAACAACCATCAACATCAGTGAGGACCCACACCAGTACGCATACCACAAGAACCGATCAACAATAGAGGACGCCATCTCCTCTGTAGTCCACACTGCTCTCACCCACCTGGAGCAGGATTCCTACGTCCATATGATCTTTGCAGACTTCACATCCACCTTCTAACACCATAATTCCCCAGACCCTGATGGACAAACTACTCATACTAGGATTAAGCAACTGGGTCCTAGACTTCTTAACAAACAGACCACAGTCTGTGAGGATCCAAAACTTCTCCTCCACCATAACCCTCAGCACTGGCTACCCTCAGGGCTGTGTGTTGAACCTCCTCCTGTTCACTCTCATCACATATGACTGTGCAGCTACCCATCCAGGCTGTCATATTGTAAGTTTGCAGACAATACAGCGGTAGTTGGATGCATCACAAACAACAATGCGACTAGCTACAGGCAAGAGGTGGTACACGTGGAGAGCTGGTGCAGGAAGAACCACATTAACATCAATGTGAAGAAGACAAAGGAGGGGGTTGTGGATTTCAGATGGAACAAACACACCTACTCCCCTGAACATAGGAGGATCTGCAGTGGACATGGACTCCAGCTACAAGTACTTGGGTGTGAGACATTAAAGTTCATGCTCAATCATCCAGGTACCACATCCAATAATGCTCAGTCAGGTCATCTGGACAGTTTCTTTTTGGTAAAAAGACATTTCGCCCTCTATCCGTAGGGCTTCATCAGTCTGAGGAGTCCCAAGTAAACTGTTTCCCCACCAAACAGTACACACCTTAAGGGGACCAACTAGATTGCTGTAGATAAGATGGTTTCTGGAGTGGTTCTGTCCCCCATCGATTCCTCCCAGGCAGGCAGCCACAGCCAAAGTGGTTCAAGGCATTAAAGTTCATGCTCAATCATCCAGGTACCAAATCCTGTAATGCTCAGTCAGGTCATCTGGAAAGTTTCTTTTTTGTAGAAAGACGTTTCGCCCTCTATGCGGAGGGCTTGGATGTGTAAGCGGTTGAGGTGAGCTGGACTAGGAAGATCAGTCCTCACCTCCTTCTACAGGTATGCAGTGAAAAGTATCCTGTGGTCCAACATCAACATGTGGCATGAAGGCTGTACAGAAGACTGTTGGAGTCAGCCTCCCCACCATCACAGACATTTACACCTCCAGATGCAGGAAGAGGGCCACATGCATCATGAAGGACCCCACTCACCCAGCACACACACTTTGTGCTCCACTCCCCTCAGACAGGAGGTTGAGGAGCATTAGGTGTAGAACCACTAGACTGAGGAACAGCTTCTACCCCGAAGCTGAAGATTTATAAATCCCTAAAAAAAATCACTGTAATGTAATTGGTGATGTCAATTTTTCTGGGCTGCTGCTTATCCATGCTGCTGATTTCTTGTCTTTAAGTTGCTGTATTCATACCCATCTGCTCACTACAGACTCATGTTCAGGCTGCTGTTTAATACACCTTATTATTATTGTTCAGTGCATATCTTAGATCCTTATATGCCGTTTCTTTTTACATTTTATATTTTAGCTATTTTTGGATGTAACTGGTACTTTGAGTACACAATTTTGTTCCACCTCATGTACCACACGTGATGTGAATGAAAATAAAGAACCTTGAACTTTGAAAAGTCTTCATGTTCTTTAGAAAAATGAAACTGATACAAACCCATACTAGAACAACCAGACAAAGCAAAGTATGTTTGAAAAGTCTTGTGATACTTTCAGTCAAACATAAAAGTTGTTTAAGACATTTTTTTAAAAACTTTTTAACGATGCTGGGTATTAAACAGATTGTCCTCTGATCTGCCCTGCTGAAGTACCGTTACCTTGGTTTTTAAAGCAATTTCCTGTTTAGTCTGTTTTTAAAGGTTCACCTGGGAGGAGAGTCTAAAGCAAAAACAGAGTCAGGGTCCAGGTCTTACCAGCAAGCTGTGGTGCTCTCCTGGAGCCAGGTAGGTGTGGCTGAGGTGACGAGCAGCTTGGAGCACTCGAACAATCCCCTCCATGTTACAGGTGAGGCTGAAGCAGCTATGAGCCACAATCAGCAGCTCAACAACTGCAATAAACAACGAGAAAGGTTACACCCTGGATATCTGGATATCTGGGTGATGGTCTAACAGACAGCATGTGAGCCATACTGCAGTTCAGGTCTCTCAGAGGAACAGTGGGGAGGGTTTCCAACAGTCTGAGTCCCACCAGGCTGGGGTCCTTGCACAGTTTGATGAGCTGCACCAAAGAGTCCCGACCTTCTGATGGCTTGAAAACCTGCTTTTCTCCTGGCAGGAGAAGAAAACATTAACAGTGAGGAACACGAGAGACTAATCGTAAAACAAGGCTGTTCTCTCACCGGGCTGCAACTCCTGGGTGGATGCCAGCAGCGCCTGAACCACAGCAGAGGACAGCAGATCTGCCACGATCTCAGCAGAGAGACCCTGAGCTCTGATGAAGGTCTGGGCCTTCCTGTAACAATCTGGCTGCTCCAACAGCAAAAGCTTCTTCAGAACACAGCCAGGGTTCTCTGTGCAGATCTGATAGAACGTGCACTGCAGCTCCTGGATAGAATTACAGAAAATAGAAGATGTTACTTGAACACACCCTGCGCCACAGTTCTTGACATCCAATTAGATAAAAATCCAATGCCAAGGCACTGTGGATAAGTCAGGTTAGATAACAGAATACCTGTGAGGTCAATAGGTCCATTGATTCTATAGATCATGCAGTCCTACTGACCTTTACTTAAATCAACTAAAATGGATTTTCTTCAGGAAGAATAATAATACATTTAATAATTTAAGTTACTGCCGAATGGACCTTCCAAACTCAGTAAAATGATGCCCGTTTGTGTCATTCACACAGGAAGCTGAAATCTTGTAGAATCTTGAAATCTTGAATCTTGTTTTTTTCTCTGTCCTCCGGTGGAACCAGACATGTCTCCCAGTCTCTCCCCCACCCACTTCCCTGCTGCACTCTTTTGTCCTGTGAACCGTAAAAAAAAGCTTGTTTTTTGTTTTTTTTCCTGCATACCTCTTAAATGGAAAGATCAGCTGGTCTCTCAACAAAATTGGTCAACTTCTCCTGACAGGAGTCAGGGCATAAGGAGGACCCTTTTATCTCGACGGAAACAAATTGGATTCATGATGACAACTGGTTATTTTGCTGTTTGGCTGGTGAATTCTGGATTGTCTACAAATTTGTGTGAATGTGTCAAATCTCGACAGTGCTCAGACTGAATTTGTGGAGCTGCAGCAGGGAGCTGGAGCAGCTGTTATCAGGACTGTGAACTCACTGGTAGCACTCATGAAGGTGAAATAATCTTGGAGAAGCTGTGAGCTCGACTTTGGCATAAAGGATCAATTGGGCTATTTTGGAGTTCAATCAGAGGAATATATACCAGTGAGACTTTAAAAGGCAGAAACAACAATTTCACAAGTTCTGCCTGACCCAAACTGTGGCCTTGATGCTGGACTTATCTCAACTCCTCCTGGAATGTTTTGAAAACAACAAAGATGCTTTGACTGTCTCCTCACCCCTCCCTTTCCCAAGGTCGTGGACATGTAACAGAACCTCAACTGAGCTGAAGATGGACGTCACCTCTTATCTGGACAATGGCTGAGAGGGGGGGCTCTGGATTATGCTACGAGTTTCCCTTAAAAATTCAATGTTTTCACCGCCTATATGTTCATGTATAACGTCTGTTTATGTTGCTTTGCTTTGGTAGGTTTATTTGATGCCTCAAATTGTGCCCTGTCTAGGACACGGAGTGAGAAATCTTTTTATTTTTTATACCGTCTCTCCTCATGTTTTCTTCCCTTTTCTCATCTAAGCAAAATATTATTCTGAATAAGAATAAGAAAAGACTGCACTTTCTATAGTTGCAGCTTCGTGCACTCCGCCCATCTTTCGGATGACTGTACGTACATGTTCGCGTTGTATCTCGGTGCAATGCCAATAAAGTTTATTCTGGTTCTGACAAATGAGGAAAATTGCTAATATATCTGATTCTCCTGCAAAAAAATCCTTTTAATCCGACCATGCCCTTTTTCTTGAAAAGATGTGGATAAAATTGTTGGTACCCTTGATTAAAAAAAAAGAACTTGTGTTTAAAACGCCCCAGGTGTTTCTCATCAGCCCTAGAATCTTCAAGATTTGTCAACGAGCATTTTGATGGATTTTGTGTTTTAATAAAAATAATATTGGACTCCTTCTGGGGCGGCATGGTGGCTCAGTTGGTGGAGCTGTTGCCACACAGCAAGAAGGTCACTGGTTCAAATCCCAGCCTAAGACCTTCCTGGGTGGAGTTTTCTAGGTGAGAGTGAATGGTTGTTTGTCTCTATCTGTCCCTGTGATGGACTGGAGACATGTGCAGGTGTCCCTGTGATGGAG